CTATACCAAATAGCCGAGCCAATTCTACATGAGATATATATCAATTAGAAAGATAATATTTTTTCGTAAACTACGTTAATAAATCCGACTTCAGCCTTTTGTTAAGTCGCTTAATTAATGTACTGTAACGTTTTTCAAAGTATAGCAAGCACTTTTCTGAAAACTGCACCAGAGTTGGTGCAGCTAGTCGTGAGAAAATCGCGGATAATCATACATACACATGTTAGATGCTTTGTATAATGTGTGTGCGCAGCCTTATTACCAGCCTTCTGTTCGTCGCCTAACAAGAATGACGTTTGACACGAAGTGGGACAGTGACAGCTGACAGCAGCCCGCGCTTTTTTTGAGAGAATGCAAAACCTCGGGTAGATTTATTATTGTAATATCTTCTAATTATTTTAAAGTTTTATAGAAGAAAAGTTAAAGTGCTTGTTCAACTGATTAATGTAATAAAGTGTCGATCTACTGAAATATTGGAAGTAAAAACCTTTAATTGTCGATTTTTCTGTTTTAGGTTGGTATTGGTATTGTGTTTTAGATAAATCAAAATTGTGCGTTATTTGCTGCTGTATTATCCTACATATTACACACATACATACAGTGTAAACTACGAACGTCCTTTTTTGAAGTCGGTTAAAAAATAAAACACAATCGTATTGCAAGAACATTGATTTCTCTTCATCTTGACCAATTTTTTATGTACATACAATATTATTTAGAAAAAAAAAACACAATATTCTCGTACAACAAATATTTAGCTTGATACAATTCCAGTCGACATCGATATGGTATAACATAGTTTATTTGTTTTAGTGTCCAACTAGAACTGAGAATTATAGGACCACATTCGTCTCAAATATACATAAGACTTATTTGACCTATTAGCTTTATATAGGTAGTAGCCCTTAAAATTACATGACAAGATGGTTAACAGAATTGATTGTAATGAGCTTTATACGCAAATTTCCTCAATATAAACTTTTAGATCTGGGTTTTTCCATAATATCGTAATTTTTATAGCATTTTATAATGCATTCATGTATATAATAAAGGTCTCAAAAATCCACCACTGTTTGATCTAAGTACTATTTGATTATGGTCTATATATTCTTGATATATATACTTGGTATATATATATATAGTATATATATACTCCATATATCCCATCAAAACTAAACCAAAATATGTTTCTACCAAATTCAGAAATATTCTTCAAAGAAAAAAATATTCATCAAAACTGCATTACATTTTAGTTGGACACTAGAACAATAGATTATTTCACTTACATTATACAGAACACTGATTTAAAATTGTTTAAAAAATTGGGATTACCTACCTACAATTAGACATTCATATTTTTATTGATACAGGCAAAGTAACACACGGGTAAGGGTATGAAATACAACAACATTTTTTATCTTAATTATTATTATTCTGGCTGTGGTGTTTCTGTGATTAATACCTTTTTTGTAAAAGTACATGCGATATTATACCTACCTGGTTTGATAATTAGGTACATGATTCTTTGACGTACAATTTTGTAAAATAACTCTTTGAAACAAATTGAAATAATAATATTTTACAGCTTACTAACATAATCGTTTGATAAAGTGATTCAGATCATTTCATGCCACGCCTTGGAGCTCATATTCATGAGCAGAGTAAATTTTACGAGTATATTTATCTCGTTTTAGTCTTCTGATTGGTTAGTTAACTTGGAGCTGACCAATCATAGCGCCAAACGTGATAATCGTGTTTATCGCATTATTGTAGAAGAAACATGTACTAGGCTCTCAAAATTGCGCAATAACGATACATGACAAGACAATGATTTTAAATGGATACATAAGTAAACTGTAAAACATTAGTTTCAAAAACAGCAAAATATATAATAAACTCCATTCAATATTTTGTATAATATATACTGCTGAAAAAAAGTAAAATTAAAATACAAGTCAATCTTCTTCAAATACAATAAAATATAGTCGCAGACCGATGACACATTATTTTTGTTTATTATATCGGATAGATCACAAAATCTGCTTTATCAATTATCACATTTGATAAAAGCCAGAACACTTTATACCTATTTGGATGGGGGCAATACAGACAATGATCAATTCACACAAATCACAACAAATATTGTGCCTTTATACTGCGTTTAAATATATCAATAAAGAATACAATGCTTATTAAGAAGAATATTTAACATATGCTTAAATCTGTGACCCTAATGGAAAAGGGTATAATTCGAAATCTGTCTTAAATGATTTAATTACACCACGATTTTACTGCACGATTGGTGCAGTGGCTGGGCAACCGGCTGCTGCGCAACGTGTCGCGGGTTCGATTCCCGCACGAAACAACTCTCTATGTGATTTGTTGTTTTAGGTCTGGGTGTAATGTAAAAATCCTAGTATGAGGAATCGTTATTTTTTTAAATGGTTTGATAACAATGCTTCATCATTAAAGCTATACTGTAGTTAATAAAAACATCACATCATCAAAAATAAACATCAATAGAGCAGCTTAAATGACACACGACGTCTTTTTTTTTTTTAAGGGGGGAAAATCATCGAATGACTGCTCCCACCTGGGTGAGGCGGAAGGGAGTGTCAGACTCTTACTGACTAAAAACCACCCCGTTCCTTCTCCTGCACGTCGAGCCGGAGCCCCGGTTACCCGTTAGGTTCTCTCTAACAAGTATGGGAGTACACTAAGCACTTTTTGTGTCTCCTGTAAAGTTAAATTTTTTACTTACATCCTTTTACATTACGGCCACAGAAATATCATCGCAATAAGTTTACAAAATCTTAAACTATTCTGTGATAACACATTTATTACATCATAATGTCTGAACATAATATTACGGATTTGTTTCTATCTATTTTAAAAAATAACGTGCATAGGATATCGTCAGGGAATATTATATAAATATACATGTTTATTATTACCATAACAATCTCCAATCCTAAGTCAAGAATCAAAATATAATATGTATTAAAATAAATAAAAATGTAGCCAAATGCCAAATGTAACATTTAGTAAAAAAAGTTATTTCGATATTACATTGATTATGACAATATTATATAGAAGAAATGTGAAGTTTTAAAAGGTATTTAAAAGAATAAATAGGCATCCTTATCCTCCCAACCCGGACAAGGTAACCTACTACTAGAAAGAAGAAAGTCCCTAAACAAAGTACATTGAAGAAAAGTTGGCAGTTCAAGTTCACTAATACTCTGTTAAGTATTGGTTAAATGTGAGACCAAAACATAATTCCAATAATTCCATATTTCAGTCAGGATAAGTTAAATCCCTTCAACTATTGCGAAGGCTTTTAAAGAATTTTATCAGTACGGACTTAGAATTATATCCCAAATCCATGGTAAGTTTAAGAATAACGAACTGTATCCTTCACCCTTTGAAAAGAAGAATATTACAAGTTTAAAACTGCTATCGAAGTAACAACAAACATCTTCATCTATATACAATATTATAAAAATACTTTCACGTCAGACAATTTGTATAACATCGAAAATACATTTAGACTGTCCATTTATATGTCAGTGATCGTATAAAAGTACATAGCATACGTATTATATATTATTAAGTGTAGTTCATTCACCAGACAAAGTTAAAGAATTCCATAGACACACATTCATGACAAAAAGGATATGATAAGTGTTTGTGAACATCATTGTGGTTGGAATTTATCGAAAAACATATTAAAAGGCTTATCGTTATACATACATTTCGCACAAAATATTTTCTTCACAAGAAGTTTTATCCACTAGTCATATACATCACACAAACGCACTCATGAATAAATTTTCATCGTGTATTATTTTAACAACAAGTATATGAACCATATAAATTTCAATACTTTTATCTTATTATACAGTCAGAAGTCCGACACACAATGTCGACGTACCAACCAGAGGACCAGCCCCTGAATTCATAAGAATACGAAGAAGTTTCCGAAGCGTCATTGATTGTAATACAATATTCGTTGGCGTGTCTTCGTCATCGCCGCTAACTAATCTATGCTAGCTGTTTCTAGAAAACGGAGAAAAGCGCGTCTTTACCTCGAGTACCCCACCGTATAACAACGGCCGCGCTTAGAGGAGGTACTCTCATTGGTCTGGCTTATCAAATGATGTATTTGGAGTGCTCTCTACTTTTTTCAGTACTATTTTGAATGCAAAAGTATGTTTTGGAGACACAGACGCTGGTCGAGGAGTCTGAGGAGAACGCGGAGGTGGTTCAGGTGGCATCTCAGATCGAGTCCTCGTGCGTCTTGGTGGTGGAAGATTCCGCATTACTGGCGCCGATATTGGCTCTTTTGGTATTTGCGGGGACAGTCTATTTGGAGTCAAACGTCCGGGTGATGGCTCAGGAGTAGCAGGCGGTAACATCAAAGGTGGAAGATTAGCACACGGCGATCCACGAGAACCTCGACGTTCCTTCAAACCCATAGGCGGTGGTGGCGACATAGGCGCCTCATCTTCCTCAGCCGCTGCAACTACAACCACTGGCTCAGTCCTTAATAATGGAGGCTTCGGTTCAGAAGTATCTGACGCAATAGACCTTCTAAAATAGTTAAGTCCATTTTCTATCTCAGCTAGAGCACGCCTCACAAACGGAAAACTCTCAGATAACTCTGAAGTGGACTTGCGGACGGGAAACTCTGTTTCACTGTCACGCTTCCTCGGCCTACAGCGCTCGAACGTAGGGTCTCCTGACGCTCCCACCGTTTCGGAGACTTGTCTTGTCAGAGCGGCGTGCTTAATAGAATCTGACTTTGATCGGGGCTCCCTTGTTTTTGGTGTAGGAGAGCGTCGATCACCGAACTTCTTACTAGCTGCACGCTTGATAGAGGAGAATAGTCCGAGTTTCTCCGGAGGCTTGTCCGTTGGGGGTATGGGAATGGGTACAACAGGAGCTGAGGAAGGGCCAGGGGTGGGTTCGGGAGGAGGACGGGGGAGGTTCCCCTCGCGTTAGTTGTGCCGAGAGTCTGACGACGGAACATCGCTCGAGCCGGTGGAGGAGAGGGTGGTGTTGGATCCATAGGGATCGAGCGAAGACTGCACGGACATGGAGCGACCAGCGCGTCGGACTCGCGCTGGAGAGAGTTTGCCTGGATCTACGCTGGCCGGGTCTGCCTGCAACAACAGCGGTTTCAGCGCTCTATTCATTGCACTACTACTGAAGGCATAGAATTTTGCATAAAGAAAGATAGATTATACACATTTAATATATTAAAAGATTAAACTAAGATTTACAAACTTTAACTGAATTACAAAGAGATATTTTTATTGATATAGTTTTAAAATGTCAAAAACGATACGTTTACATGAAGTTCATAAGATACGAATTTCGTCTGAGCAAATTCTTAAAAACTTGCGAAATAAAATTTAAAATTAAGTATGAAAATAATTATAGACATATCAATGAACAAAAGTCCCGATGATTACGATATTTAATCCGAGAAAACTGCCCAATTTTTTATCTATTTTACTCTTATACACTACTTCTATAATGTATAATAGTATTAATTGCTATTGTCTCTATAACTAAAACAATAAAAAACTAAGTAAGACAGTATCAAGCAAAAGAATAGAGTAATAGAAGATTTAGACTCTCTGCTGCCAAGGTAAGCACATGAGACCAATTTTGAATAAATAATTAAAGATGTTTCGTAACAGCACCTGGTATGCCAGCGCGTTCATTATGATGGAGTATGGTACCAGGCCGAGGGGGTGAACTTCTCTCATCAGCACGTTAGCGGGGATCTTGTGGAACTGGATGTACTCCAAGAAGTTTCCAATCACTTCTTTCAAATTCATGTTCTGGTTGGTGTCGCAATACTTTTTGCTCCACATTAAAGCAGCCTGGAATTATATAACATGGTTCTAAAAATAGTGTTTTTATTCATAAGTATTTTGTCCTTTTTAGCCAGAGCTGATAGTAGTCTGGTAGATATCAATACCCGTAGAATCAAGCCTCGAAGTCCGACCCCAGAATTGTATTTTCTCTTTTTTTAAAATAATTGCCTCACACTAGGATTTTCTCCCGTATCGTATTACAGGCATATAAGTCCACATACACATGACAGACTCGATACAACAATTTGTAATTGACACATAGAGTTGCTCCGTGCGGGAATTAAACCCGCTATTCGTTGCATGGCAGCCGGTTACCCAGCCACCGCACCCACCGTGCAGTCGAATTCAGCTCAGCACTGGCCACTTTAGACTGTCCAGTAATCAATTGTTAATTATGATGTTATCATTTTCATGTATGTGTGCAAATAAATAATAGTCTTTTTTCTTTTTTAGCGTTTTGTATAGAAAAATCTGTGCACAGCCGATTTTTGAGTAAAATATTAACCTTTTAGTTGAACATTTTTTTAACTTAAGGTAACGAAGACGAAGGACAGAATCGTACTGACCAAAAACCACCCAGATGTCTCGTCTCTCACGTGGGCGTAAAGGTGTGGTAATCAAATTCATCCGCGGCAAAAGAAAAATGACGTAGAGATTCGAACTCACAACACATGAATATCATGTTAGCATATTTAGCATATTTAACATCTAAACCAAATCGGATTATAAACCAAATATTCCTGAATAAATACTTAGTAGCTCTCTCTTGATCTTGAAAACTAGGGAAAAAAGCCAGCAAAAAAAAAGAATTCAAATATTTATGGTTACTTTGTAATCCTTCAAACCAAAATATATGCCAATGATGTATTGATATCAAAATTATAATTAACGTGCAACTATACCTGGAATTTTGTAAATTCATCAGCTCTTAATTCATCTCGCGCCAGTATCAGCCTCACCACGTGTTGGGGCAGCAGCGTGAAAGATCCAAGATTCAGCACTTCGTTACCATGCTCGTCTACAAATTCCAATACCTGAAACATTTAGTTCAATATGTAGCAAGATTTAAAATCTACAAACTGAATACACACATTTTGAGGTCATTCATCAAACCAGAACTCCTTTTTAATCAAAAATATATTATTACAATGCATCATCAACAATAGCATGGAGCAGTTCGCTGCTGAACTGTAAATCCTCTCAGTTTAAAAGGTTTAGGTTTATCAGAGAGCGCTTATACTCAGTCCCTGGCAAATAGACAATATAATAATCTATTGCATTCTTAAAAATTAAATAAATACCGAAGAGAGTACGAGGCGGTTGCTGAAACAGTTGATAAGCTCAGTTGGCGCGAACATCAACATGTATCTACTTATAATTAATTCATTTTACGAATTTTTACTTTTTTTATGGCATAGGCCGGTAAACGAGCAGACGGATCACCTGATGACACTCCAGGTGTCCATGGGCGATGCCGATTGCTTGCCGAACACCAGAGGCGTTACAAGTGCGTTACCGGCCTTTTGGCGATTGGGAGTTTAAGGATCGTTGGGGATTCAGGAATTGGGGAGACTGGAGAAGGGGAGGGTAATTGGGCTTCCAGTAACTTCACTCACACGACGAAACACAACGCAAGCGTTGCTTCACGTCGGTTTTCTGTGAGACCGTGGTATCACTCCGGTCGAGCCGGCCCATTCGTGCCGAAGCATGGCTCTCCCACACTTACTAGTACTTACTAGTTAATCATTTTAGTGAATTAAAATACTTGATGCAACATATAACAACAGAGGAGAATATAGTGAAGTACCACTTCTTTTTCTCTCCTTTTTCTCTCCTTTTAAATCGCAACTTTCAACCCAACTGCTTGAAGTCTCTTACTTTTTTAATTCCATAGAACACGAAAAGACTACGTACCTTCTGTACAAGAGACTTGGTACACTTGTACTGTATGTATCTCTCAGCTGAAGCAAGCAGGGCGCAAACGGTGTCGACGGTGATGCAGCATTGTACGAAACCCGCGCATGCGCGCCGTAGCTCATCCAGGCCGTAGTAGTCAGCAGCATTCATTACTCCTGGAATTGAGAAGGCATTTGAGGAGATGAAAAGATATTTTGAAAATATTTCTTATAACCGATATTAATTGCTATTAACCTTGCTCAATTTACATGTACTATAACAGTTAGTTAGACACCACATACAAACGGTAAAGGAAGACATCATAAGGAAACCTGAGCTTATCATTTTCTAATTATAAGTTTGAAATCGCCAACCTGCAATGAACAAGCGTGGTGATTAAAACCCGCAATAAGATCAAATCTTCTGTGTGAGAAAAGGCTTTGCTCAGCAGTGGGCATTTATAGGCTGTTGATGATGACCAAAACGGTCATTGTGAGAGATTAGTTTTCAATCAAAGGGCATGGTACTGTGTGAGCACACTAAAGTACATTTACTCGCAAGGTCTTCGAGTGAAGAGTATGCTAATAATAATTAACCGAAATATTTTAGTTTGAAAGCTATATCTTTACTAACAGAGTCCTTTATACAATGATGGCGTTTCACCAAACTCAAGTTGATACAACACTATAGATCCTACTTTATTCATTAGACACGACTTCTTAATTAGAATTTCTAAAACATTACTTGAAAACTCATCGAACGTAATTACATTTTACTGGTCTTTTAATGCCTGCCTCGTTTGCCGAGTGGTTGCAAGTGCGACTACCGGTCAAGGGGTCTCGGGTTCGATTCCCGGGTCGGGCGAAGTACTACTGGGTTTTTATAAATTCTCAGTAGTAGCACGGAGTCTGGAATTGTGCCCGGTATATGGCAATAGGCTCACCCCCTATTACATGCGACTCATAACATAAATAGTGAAAAGTGGGTGTTACATTGTACAGTGGCATAATTTACACCTCTGCCTACCCCTTCGGGGATAAAAGGCGTGATGTCATGTCTTTTAATGTTCGAATTTGACGTACAAAAACAAACGCTACTCATAATAACTTACGAACTTTTAGTAGGTACGTATACCTACGCATTTTCACTGAAAGAGTAAATAAGAGGTAAAATTACTTTTTCCAATGAATTTTGAAATGCGAAACGCGTAAATGTTGAGAGTAATTCACTAAAAATACGTAATACTACGCAAGTTGCCTCATTTTGCGTGGGCGACAAAGTTTTATTACAAGTTATTTTTAGATACAGGAGTCGTAAGTTCAACGTGTCGTTGTAGGCGTGAAGTATACAAAGTGTTGTTTTAAAGTCGCGTCATTTTCTAGAAGGTAACTCGGCTATCGATTCTGAGTCTGAATCAATAAAAAAAGTTGAAGATTAATATTTTTTATTTTTCTGTTAATTACGGAAATCCGTAAGTGCGAACTACACGCCGCTGTCTTGTAACTAGTTTTATAACGCGGCTTAACACACACAAACTCAAACACGTAATTGATATTATTCCTAATTCCATAAAACTCCAATAAGAACCATTGCTGTCGCTTATTCTGGAAGACTGTCGAACTTAAACGATTTATTATAGCCGTATTTTTATGGGCCCGGAACTTTTACTTATATTTAACCTTTATGCCTTCTGTGACATGCCCCCGGGAAATGACACGGTTTCAAAACTAAACCTTGTATAGGTTGGTTAAAATAATTACGTTGGTGTAAGTTTTATAAGATTCCGTGCTGTTTCACCCGCTCTGCTCGGCGCATATTGAGTGTAGTGTAATATTTAATAACCTATTGCCTTCGCCGATAAATGAACTATCTAATACATAATCGAGTAATAAACAATAAAAAAACATTGAAAAAAATACAGTCGAATTGAGAACCACCTCCTTTTTTTTTAAAGTCGGTTGAAAAACGGTTTTTCAAATCTGTCCAGTAGTTACTGAGATTAGCGCGTTCACACAAACAAACTCCTTAATTTTAGATAAATAAAGTTAAAGTTTAGGCAGGTAATGATATGAATTGGGAAATATATATTATTTTACATATATGCATTTTTTCTTGGGGGGAGGATATCATTCAATGACTTCTCTGTGGTGGTCTGATGGCTCTTCGAGGCGCATCGCGTTCCGAGTTACATTTAGGCGTGTATACGAATTTTTAAATAACATCAATTTATTATTAACTTAATATAAAATATAATATAACATAAGATTACGCCTTTCATCCCCGAAGAGGTTTTTCTTTTTTAAGGGGGGAAAATCATCGAATGGCTGCTCCCGCCTGGGTGAGGCGGAAGGGAGTGTCAGACTCTTACTGACTAAAAACCACCTCGTTCCTTCTCCTGCACGTCGAGCCGGAGCCCCGGTTACCCGTTAGGTTCTCCGCGACTCCGAATCGGCATCGGCGCTATTGAGCCCCATCTGTGGTGGTCTGATGGCTCTTTGAGGCGCGCGCGGAACGCGACGCGCCGTACGCTCGGGTCTGTTTCTGGTCGGACGGGGAGCCACCCATGCTCGCCGTCCGCAGGCCCGCGCTTACGGTGGCCGGAGATCGTCCCGCGATCCCCGACGCATCCCCGAAGAGGTAGGTTGTGGCGCACATTATGGCACTTAATGCCACTGTACAATGTAACACCCACTTTTCACTATTTATGTTATGATTCACATGTAATAAGGGGTGAGCCTGTTGCCATAAACTGTGTACAATTCTAGACTCCGTGCAACTGAGATTTTTTACCGAAAATCGAACCCGAACCTCCTTGCCCGGCAGTCACTTTTGTGAGCACTCGGCCAACGAGGCAGTGATTATTATAAATATTGTATAATTACTAAACCTTCTAATTAAATTCAAGTACCTACCTATTTATATGCCAATACCTCAAAATCAATTTAGAAACCGCACGTTGTTTACCGTTAGCGTAATTAAATTATAATTTATATGATGGAAAATACTTATTTATAAGATATTTCAATGCTAAGAATCTCTTAAGCATCCAATATTGAAAATAAAGTTCGAAACTCCGATAATTAAAGAGAGGAACCTTGTTCACGAGTTATGAAGAGAATTCGAATGAAAATTGTAACATTTTCTCTTGGTCGAAGTCTTGTACTGAGAGCGATTTTATTGGCTCTTCAAGAAATTTAAGTTTTTTTTTGATGGTAAGTCTTTAGCCATAGACACTTATAACCCCAGAGAAGTTTGATTAACTTTTGGACTATTGTAAGCTTTATTGGAATCGGTCAACGTAGCAAGTGTTTTTTTTTAGGGGGGGAAAATCATCGTGTGACTGCTCCCGCCTGGGTGAGGCGGAAGGGAGTGTCAGACTCTTACTGACTAAAAACCACCCCGTTCCTTCTCCTGCACATCGAGCCGGAGCCCCGGTTACCCGTTAGGTTCTCCGCGGCTAACGTAGCAAGGGTTGAGGTGTCATGCACACATAAATGTCCTACAGTCGGTGGCGCTGTGTGTTGGGTTGTTCCGTTCACAATAAAAAGGTTGACCGGATCAATTGCTAATACACACGTCACACTCGTGAACGGGTGCCTTCTGCTGGGTCAGGTCGGCTCTCCCATCTTGTTGGTGGGCTAATTTCGTAGAGCCGTCGAAATAGATATAAATAGATAATACCTAATTATTATGTAACTAGCTGTGCCCGCGACTTCGTTCGCGTGGTTGTCGAAAACAAAACGACATCGTTTAGATAACAGGCTATATACATTATGAACTCCACTCAAGAAGATGGTATAGTATTTTTTTGCCAATATAGATCCTGACTATAGTACATTTTTATTTGGTAATATTGGTATCTAGTTGATTATATGTAATTTATAATTATTGTGACTAGGTACCTTCTTTATAAAAATTGATTAGACGTATTGTAATAAAATAAAATTAAATAAAATTGTATGACAAGACAAGACCCAGGCCAAGAGTCCGTGGAGAATTAATCTGTAGCATTATAAAAAAAATCCCACGGAAGTTAGAAATCCCAGCTGGGGCTGCGGATGACCTTGCGAATTATTGTTGCCCCAACCCGAAGCAGGAGTGAAAACGAGGTGGTTTTTTGTCAGTAACATTTTACCCCTATAAAAGGGGAATTTATACGAATGTATCCTTTGACCTTTATTTACTAGTTTTAAGGTACAGGTATTTTTCATACTTAAAAGGACACCTCAACGTAAGATTTATTGTAAAAGTTCTTAAGTTGCTGAATAAAGATTTTATTATTTATTATTATTAATATGACACCGACAAATACATAACTATCGTGTTTAATAAGCGATTTAAAACCAACACGATTACAGAATAAGAATAGAAATCTACCATTTAGAATTTACAGTAGGTACACAAATTACGTGAAGTAAACAGATACTATTTATAGCGCAATATTCTATAGAGCATTGTCTTGTAATGTGCTAAACAAAAGCAAACACCATAGCGAAGTGGAGAACAAATAAAAGCGTGGGTGTTGTACATTCAAGACCTCTAAATATAGAAAATCGGAAATACACTACTCTGTTGTATTTAAATTTCTATAAAATGATAAAAAATAACAACTTTTATAACTCGAAATAACACTTCAAAATGGATATTTCTAGTACTTATTTTTAAAAACATAAACATTTAATCAAGTATTTATTGTATTCATAATGTAGACATACAATTGTTTTTTTTTTAAGGGGGGATTTCATCGAATGACTGCTCCCGCCTGGGTGAGGCGGGAGGGAGTGTCAGACTCTTACTGACTAAAAACCACCCCGTTCCTTCTCCTGCACGTCGAGCCGGAGCCCCGGTTACCCGTTAGGTTCTCTGCGACACATACAGGTGGTTAGGTTAGACATACAGAAATACATGTAGAAATACAATAGTAAAATTACTGACCATGACGGACACAGCTAAATGTAAAATTAGTAAGGGAGATGTCGTTTTGTTTGATTTAAAGTCATGTCAAAATAATAAATGTCATTTGTTTAATAATTATATCTCACTAATATAAAAATTATGTGAAAATTTGTAAGTTTGTGTGTATGTTCGTAAATTAATTACGACAAAACTGTTAAAGAGATCGAGGTGAAATTTTGTACAGGGGTAAATTATAGTTTAGAATAATCTTAGAGTATTT